TGGAGACTCTATAGCATGTTGGTTAAAAGCATAAATTATTGGCATCTCATTGACTAGGATTTAAATATCAGCTCTGTCATTTATTATTTTAGGCAAGGTACTTAAGCTGGTGCTTCTACAACTTTGGTGGCATTCAGAAGCTCCTGGCGAGATCAGTAAAAATACAAAGGCCCAGACCTTCCTCTATTTCAATAAGCTTAGGCTCCATATTCTTTAATAGTCGTCTGGGTGATTCTCATATACACCAAAGTTTGGGAACTATTGACTTAAGCAGTAAGACTAGAGTTCCTCATCCATAAAATAAAGATGTTAATAGCACCTGCTGTTGTCATGATGGTTAAATGAACTTAATCTGTCTGAACCCAGTGCCTAAGGTGGTAAACACTCAATAAATGTTAGCTATAATTAGTTCCCAAAGTTGTTTTGTAAAGTCTATCTATGCTGGTGTGACAGAAATTCACCCTACTGAACTTTGGCTAAATTGAGGTAATATTCCCTTCCACCTACTACCTACATGATAAAAAAAAAAAAAAAAAAAAAAAGTTAAATTAATCCAGCTAAAAGTTAAATTGAGAAAGATGAAAAACTGAGATTTATCAATATAGGTTTTAGGGAAATTTGGGTTTTCTGCATTTTATGTAAGAATAAATGTTTGAGTTAACAACAGAAGGCTTTTTGTTTTGTTCTTGCTTTTTAATCCAGCTCTTTGAAGCTGTCATAAAAATAAAGTCTTTATAGTTGTATGTTCCTTAGGAAACCACTTTAAAACAACTTAACTGTAAAAAAGGAGAAAAGTTTACACATATTATATAGCTCATAATGCAGAACAGGTAAGGTTGCACTCTTCCTAAAATCAACATTTTCTTGCAGACTGAATACTCTCTTAAAAATGTTTTTACTTAGATCCACCTTGCTTTATGAACATAAATTGGTGTTGATTTAAGTTTTTTACAAGATGGAGAGTCAGAAGGGAGGTGTTTCAAATCATAAGAGATGCAAAGGTTCATTTAGTCTCTGCCCCTTCCTGCTAATTTTGAGCCTTGACTCATCTAAAATCTATCATTAGAGTAAGACAGAGATTATAAGTTTCAAGGAGAAAAATGTCAGAAAGCCACCACACAAGACAGAAGAAAATCACAGTTATTCTAAAGTAGTAAGTGAAAGTTTTTGCTGGTCCAGACCTTCTAGGGTACTTTCTGATTTTCCTAAGCCATGCTGAATAATTATATACATCACACTCAGACTTTGGATTTGATGTCTTGGTATTAAAAACGAACAAACAAGAATTAAAATGTACATGACCCACAAATATGTTAACATCACTGAAATTTAGATTAAGTTTTAAATTTTAAATGTAATAGACATTTTGGACTTTTTTTTGCTTTACTGATCACATCTGGCTCAAGTCAAGTTTTCTTTGCTATATAATTAGGCAATAGCATTAAAAAAAGGTTTATTTCTGTCACCAGTGTTATTTTAAAATTCTGTCTTCTATTGTCATGTAGATGCAGTTACATTCAGAAGATACACATTTATTTTCAGATGTCTTCATTCAGCCTCATGGCTGAAGTATCTACTAAAGTATCTCAACTTGGTGCATACTATATTCACATACACATGAGTGCACACTCAGATATATGTACCCATAGATGTGCATGAATCACTACAAACAAAAATAGCACATTTACCTCTGCAATATAGTTTATCCATCCCTTGCCTAGGATAGGCCAAAAATCTCATGATCATACCTCCTGCTGCTCACTCCCCCACATATATTTTGTCCATCAGACCTCATACTACTTTCTTTTTGATAATCCTTCCTTTCATATTCCCAGCATTATTACCGTAAGGCCAATCAGCAACCTGTCTCCTAAAATATTGTAAAACATTGCTAATTTGTATATATTAATTCTGTCATTACTTAAAACATTCTGCTCCAAGATTACAGATTATTTGCCCTAAAACAATACCATAGACATGTTTATAAACATTTGAGATTTCCTTGGGGCCTCTGAGGGTGAAGTTTAAAACTTCTGACACAGGGTTGTCTGATATTTGGCCACAGAATTCCTCTCCAACATTTTCCTGTTAGTTTTCTCCCAAGAAAACTTTTGCTTTTGATTTAACTCCAAGCATATGATAAACATATTCACATCATGTTCATAAATATTATTTGATAACTGTTTGAAACATAAGCGTAGACAATGCATCAGGCACTATTACTAGCATCCTCTTTCACAGACAAAAAACTAAAGTTGAGAAGGATAAGTGATCTGCCAAAGGCCAGAAGAGTCTTTGGGTCCCTAGACTCTAGCCAAATACCATCAGTAAATACCTATTCTTGTGGAGGGTGAGGATAGCACCAGGGTCACATGGGACTATTGTCACAGATGAGGTTGATGATTAGCATTAAGCAAAAAATTCACTGAAGTCATTAGGTAAATGATGATAGCTGTATTAATCTGTGTGGGCTATCGTAGCAAAATACCACAAACTAGGTAGTATTTCCTCACAGTTCTGGAGTCTAGAAGTTCAAGATCAGGGTACCATCAGAATTGATTTCTTGCCATTTCGCCCATGGCCTCTTCTCTGTGAAAGCACAGAGAGAAGGAGACCCCCTTTGTCTTTCCTTTTCTTATAAGGACACCAGTCCTATCAGATTAGGGCCCCCCTCTCGTGACCTCCTTTAGCCTTGATTACCTCCCTAAGGTCCCTATCCTGACATAGAGTCACATTGGGGGAATTCATCATGCGAATTGTAGTGAGACACAATTCAGTCCATAACAATAGCTAACACTTGAACAGTGGCTCCTATTGCTAAGCACTTTCAAACTCTTTTGAATATTTTAATTCTTGTAACTCTTACAATAACTCTACAAGGTCAATGCTATTACAATACGTATTTTACACGGAAACAAATTGAGGCACCATGGGGCATAAATAACTTGCTTACAATGACACAGGACTCATATCTAGCCAGACTGTTTTCTTCATAGGTGCAATTAGTTCCAATGTTATACAGCATCATGAATCAAAGTTGAGCCCTAGAATGCCTGACATGAATACTACCAAATTACCAAAAGCACCAGCAACATTACAGGGACATATAAATTATTGGCATCTTCTCAGCTAGGGCTTAAATATCAGTTCTGTCATTTATCATTTTAGGCAAGGTACTTAATCTGGTGCTTCTATAACTTTGGTGACATACATACTCAAACACACACACACACACACACACACACACTTAAAACCACAATGTAATAGATAAAGCACTGGGCCCCAGGTCAAAAACCCAGGCTAATGAAAAGGTGACATTAGATGTGTTAACTTCCTTTAGATTATATATTTTTCAACACAGAGATTATCTCCAGAATTCTCTCCTAAGAGAAGGTGATTATATGGGTTCATCTTTCTATTCTCCAGAACCTAGCACAAGACTTTGAACAGAGAGGGTGCTTAGTAATTGTCTTTAAATCGGGAAGCCAAAGACTTGTAGTGTCCATACATTTATGCACATGGATGGGAACACTGTTGATATTATTTAGAAATAAGATAATTACCTCTAAGGGATAAATTGTGCTGATTTAATGAAACTTTTTGTTTCCTTAGACTAAAGAAGTATTTAGGATACTTGCAGACAAAACTAAAATGGGTAAAAATGGGAAAAGTTGACCTGGGGATATTTTTAAAATACATAATACAGAGTTGTACAGTTTTTATTACAAATCAACATATTGTAATAGTGAAAATACAGAAGAGTATTTGCCTAAATAAACATGGCAAAAAATGATTTTATTCTCTCCCCACAAAACAATAAAACAACAGTAAAAGTGTTTTTAAAGAAATAAATCCACAGGAATAGGAACAGTAGAGATAATAGCAATAGATTTCCTTTTTTAAAAAATAAAAATTTTTAACATTTTTATTTATTATTGAGAGACAGAGAGTGACAGAACATGAGCATGGGAGGAGCAGAGAGAGGGGGAGACACAGAATCTGAAGGAGGCTCCAGGCTCTGAGCTGTCAGCACAGAGCCCAACACAGAGCTTAAACTCACAAACTGCGAGATCATGACCTGAGCCAAAGTCGGAAGTTTAACGAACTGAGCCACCCAGGTGCCCCAGTAATAAATTTCTTATAAGCTGGAGTGCAGATGGATAAACGGTAGACAACCAAGCAAAACCAAAGTACAAGGAGGAGGGAAAGGAGAAGAAGAGGAGGGGAAAAAGAAAAGGGTGATCTGTACCTTATGGTCAGCAACAGGGAAAAATCAAGAACTAAACCAATAGCTTTGGAGAGAAAGAGAAAATAGTTCACTATTAAAAGAAATGTTCAGGGGCACCTGGGTGGCTCAGTGGGTTAAGCATCAGACTCTTGATTTAGGCTCAGGTCATGACCTCATTCATGATTCTTGAAATCTCCACCTTGATGGCATGGAGTCTACTTGGGATTCTCTCCTCTCTCTGCCCCTCCCCCACTAGTGCTTGTGCTCTTGCTCTCTTTCTTTCTCTCTCTCACAAAATAAATAAACTTAAAACATTAAAAATAAAGGTTCAGAACATTTCTTAAATGTTCAAAACAAACACTCCTGAAAATTAAAATTTTGATTGCAGCGATTTTAACATATCAATAGTCATTTTGGTAATAAAGTTGAGAAGGCTTCCCTGAAAATCATGAAAAGTATAATATACACATAATGTAAAAAGATAAGAAAATCACACAGCAGCCCATTTGGTCTAATGTTTAAGTAATATGCATTCCAGAAAGAAAGAGATCATAAACAATGAAGAGAAGTAAAGCATCAAATAAACAAGCAAGCAAATACTGAGAGGCACAATTTTTCATGGTGAGAAAGATCTATTATTAATACCCACTTATGGATAAAGTTAGAGAACTTCTTTAACTTCATCTTTACAATTTCAGAACGTTCTGGATAGGATGATCTTAGCAGCTACCAAAGGATTAGAGAAAAAACTAAGAGACTAAACAAAAAAAGCAGGCGTCAAAATACATCATTATTTCTCAAATGTAGTACAAAAGCTAGAAACAAGGGACCAATGCCTTCAACATCATGACAGATAATAGTTTCCCATGCAGAAATGTATGTCCAATCCAAACATCAATCCAACATAAATGGAGAGTAAGGACATTTTCATCATCCATCTTTCTCAGGATGTCTCTGGAGGACAGGTTCCACCTAAAAGGGGACAGTAAATTAAGAAAGGGGAGAGACCTAACAAACAGGAGATCCAACATTAAAAACAACATAGATATGCCCAGAGGAATGTTGAAAGGAGCTCCTAAGTAGCAGCATAAAGGCAACCAGCTTGCACTAGAGCGCAACAGAAGATATCAAAAGTACCACCCTAAAAGATAAATTTCATATAATACATAATCTGTCTGGATGCCTGGAGAACAGAATTAGATAACTGGTAAAGACCTTACATTAGTGAGAAATTCTTAGAAATAAAAGCAAACAACAACAACAACAACAAAAGCCATGGCCATTATTAACTCCTGGAACACCAAACAGCTGTGAAAGAAAAAAAAAATCATAGTGTTTATACAGCTCAGACTAAAACAGCATCTATCTCATCATAAAATGTGAACAATGAATACTGATGTAACCTAAAGTACCATATAACCATGTCAAGAGAACTGGCTCCTATTTGGTAGGAAGTGATGGAGGCAAGAGAGCCCAAAGACAGCACCTCTACTAAAGAGCCAACAGATGGGACTGCACGAAAGTGGTTAGTTGTGGAGGAAAATGCCAGAGTCGGTGAAGTTGCAAGTGGATGACTCTGGAAGAGGGGGAAGAGCCAGGACTGCTGTGTTTTGAAACAAAGTTGAGAGAATACTTTGACCCAGACTATGGGCATGTACAATTGTAGCAAGTACTGAAACTAATAAAAATAAACAGAAAAAAAAATACTGAAGACAGCACAGAATAGATTTAAAGTTCATCTGTAGCCCTATCACTAATAAAAACTCCATTCCATTTTTATATAACTCACATAAATATAATACAGATTTTACTGGATCCATTGAAATCCATAGAGACTCATAACCTGACTTTTATTTTCATTGACTTTATCATTTGGCCAATACCTTAGATACTAAATATTCTTCTATAGCATGGTTTTAATGACAACCTAATATTCTCAGTTATATAGTGTATATAATTAAAATGTTCGGTTATTTCAAATATGTCATGTGACCAATTCTACTGATTTAAGGTACCTGGGCTACCTAATTAACTCAGTTCCCAGTGAACAGGGACAATTCATCATTGGTGTCAAAAAAAATTAATGCTCTTAAATGATTTTTCAAAAGAGAAACAAGAATTTCCAGTAATGCATAATCTCTATATAGCCCTAAAGAAAAGGAACCCCATCCCCTCAGGACACAGCTATAAGTTTTAAATACTTTCAGAAGCATTGTTAGTAGAAAAGGAGTTTATACTATTGGAAAACATCTGAGATTCAATAACTAATAGGATCAAACTGGCCCATGTCTAAGATTTATTGTTTTTTTTTTTTTAATTTTTAGATTTATTTATTTATTTTTGAGAGAAAGAGAGAGAGCATGAGCTAGGGAGGGACAGGGATAGAAAGGGAGACACAGAACCCAAGGCAGGCTCCAGGATCCTAGCTGTCATCACAGAGTCCAAATGCAGGGCTCAAACCTGAGCTAAAGTTGTATGCTCAACCAACTGAGCCACCCAGGTGCCCCTAAGATTTAAATTCTGTTGTATTTAACATTGTGAACTGTAATACTCTATGCACTGTGTGTGTGTGTGTGTGTGTGTATTTACACTTTATTTTTGCTTTTCTAAATGATTTTACATAAAGTAATCCAGTTCAAGGGTCACAGTGCAGATGAATTTGACCCACGGATTGTCTTTGGTTGGAAAAGAGTATGTGACTATCTTTGTGATGCCATTTCAGAGTTCATGTCCCTACCTGCTACATATATTTCACAACCCTCTAAACTGAGAAAAAGGTTTTTCATTCTACAGTAAAAAATAAGATAGCAAATGCAATCTTCTCCTAAATGACATCAGGAAAAAATAAATTTTAGGTTGTTGAGGTCAAAAGAGAATTCACTGATATAAAAGATCCTTTCTGATATCTTTGAGTCTTGATCCCAATAAGTTCCCACTACAAGATGGTGTGCAGGTTAGGAAAAGAGATGAGGATTTTTACTTTTTAAATATTACTGGTCATACTAAGAGACATTCGTCAAAGCAATGTACCTTGGGAGTGAGAAGAAAGTAGAGAAGACTGAGAATGTGTAGCAATGGTGGAAGGCAAATGTGTCAGGGATATACTACAAGGCTCCAGTGGCATAATTTCTACTCAACTCAAAAGCAAATATTAATATTTTATGTTTGAAATTAATTTTAGACTAGTATTTAAAATTTCCCTTGTGCCATATGTTTTTCCAAATTAACTGCAAATTTTGTTTCAAATTTTACTTAATAAAGTATTATCAGTCCTTATAGATTATAATAGTTTTTTCTTCATTTTTTAATATCTGTTTGCAGTAGAATCATTATCAGAGCTATTATTTTTATTCTTTCTTTTCCCACAGAGCTTAATCCTAATGAACCACATTACTTCTGTACATAATTCAAAAAGAATATGTCACAACATTCTCTGGTATGAAATACTGTGATTTTTTAAGTTTCATATTGCTGAATTTGCCAAATCAGTACTAAATGTATAGAAAATTATGTCAAATCAAATAATCAGTTATTTTGTCTCCAAACAATTCCTGGAACTTTATAAAATATATTTTTGTCTTTAACAAATCCTCCTGTACAGCTTTACAGCTTTCTTCTCAGGATATGCCACCATCAATCAAGGAAAAATGACAACTTTGAAACAGATGTCAAGGGCATTTGCTGTTTTAACTGATCATCAACATTACTGATTGATTAATGGTGGGATTTTCATAAAATCTGTATAATTGGGACAGCTGCTCTTTGGATAGACCTTTCCTCCTGTCAGTTTCAAGTACAGGTGACAATAAAAGTTTCGTGTCTAGAGGACCTTTCAAGGTTAAGATGGATAAAACCTTAATACTCTGTCCTAAATCCCCTCTTATCAATAAGGTAACTCTGATTGCATGGGACAGATGACTGCTAGGCACAAATAGCTGTTTTCATTTGCTATAGACATTGTTTTATTGAGGCATATAGGAAAAAAAGTTATGTTAGGACACTTAAAATATATGAAAACCATTATATTGACCTGTTATGCATTATAATGTGTTCAGTCCTGCAATCACATTTCAACAAAATGAAAAATAAAGCATCATCCAGTAATAGTGAAACATTCATACAAGCCCATGCTTGCAAAGAACTTTGGAACTGCAAAGGTAAAGGTTACTGTGGGCATAAATAGCCCACTAGAATCAATGTCTCTAGAAACACTTCCCAAAGAATATTGTTTTTAAGAAGAAACTAATCTCCAAAGCCTGATGATTTGGTCTAGAGATATGTGCAGAATTACAGCTATCAGATCTACCTAACAGGAAACAAAGTTAAAGATCTTTATGCAGTATCTGTAAGAGAAACATGTTTTAACTATTTTTTAATGATGACAAATATAATTGTATATACTCAAAGGATGCAACATGGTTATTTGACATACTTTAACATTGTAGAATTTCCAAGAGCAAAATAACTAACATATCCATCATCTCACATATTGCCTCTGTGTGTGTGTGTGTGTGTGTGTGTGTGTGCGCGTTGAGGATGCTTATGATCTACTCTGGCAACTTCCAAGTATGCAAGACAAACATTTTTTGAATTGAATTAAATTTTTTTGAGCTGGAACACTCATTTTCTTACCAGTATGTGCCATTGTTTCAAAATAGGGCTTCTTCTAGGGTGATAGCAGCTCTTACTTAAAACTATCTCCCACATTAATGGAAATATAAAACTATGTACAATAAAACAATATCCTCAGAGATTTTTAATCTATATGAACCAGAGAGTAGGCTAATTTATTGTAGTACCTATAATATATTTATAAAATTCACATAATTATATCCATAAAATGTCTTGCACATATCCACATTAGTCTGGTAAATGGCTGTATTCAAGAAAGGAAATTTGTTGATCTGCAGTGTTTCTACTATCTCTATTTTTACCTCAATATTTTCTATACTACAAAGATCTATTTATACTGTGTATGTGTGTATGTGTGTGTGTGTGTGTATGTGTGTGTGTGTGCACAACAGTGATTTTTTTAAAAATCAGATATGTTGAAACCCTTGAAATCATATGACAATTATATGAATAATGTTTCTTTGGAAATAAAATACACTAGTCACATTAATCCTTGAGAAAAAAAAATGCATGTTCATATTCGATCCAGCTAATTAAAAGTTGAAAACCACACAGTTTGACAATAAAATATTCAGTGAAAAACTTTAAAAGAAGAAAGGTTATAGCTGTTTTTGTTGTTTTTAAATAGGTAAGTTGTTTTACTGAATTAAAGTTCTTAAGAATCTCAGGGTGCATAGGTGGCTCAGAAGGTTAGGCTTTTGACTTCAGTTCAGGTCATGATTTCATGATTCGTGGGTTAGAACCCCACATCAGCCTCTGTGCTAACGGCTTGGAGCCTGGAGCCTGCTTCAGATTCTGTGTCTCCCTCTCTCTCTGCCCCTCCCCTGCTCACACTCTCTTTTTCTCTCAAAAATAAATAAACATTTAAAATTTTTTAGTTTTTAAGGATCTCGAAAAACTAAGAAATAAAATTGTATTTTCAAGCTGGGCCTATATTTTCAATGCTAAAGGATAATCATGTTTGCAGCTTTATATAAGCACTCACTTTTCTCTTACCACTCTTAACCATTAAAGTTAAATAGAAAATATTACACATAATAGCTAATAAGTCCTAGTAATTATTAGATTGTTTTATAGTGCTTTGCTATAATTTAATAATATCTGTGCTTTAGGAAACAGTTAAGAGTTGTTTGGGCTTTTTTTCCTACTATTTTTGTTTTGCCTTCTAAACCAAACAATACTTATACATGAATATCTCTTGTGTAGAACACGTGTGAACCTCAGCCATAAGAACTAGGGATGGAACAAAGCTAGACTGCTTTGGACAAACCTGTCTTGCTCAGAGGCCGAGTCCAATAAGTCAACCAAACAGTGCAAATACGGTGTGAATGGACCAATTT